CTTGATGATCTGCTCCCATAAAGATAACAGCCTAGGAAACCCTGTGGAACAGTTCTACTCTGTCATATGAGTCTGCTATCTCTTCCAACATGGATGCTTAGATGTGAGAGGAAAGGATGGAGCTAGTTCATCTTGAAAGGATTTGTCCGTGATATGTACTATTACTATTGTTGTATCATTAACTTATTCCCTAGGGAAATAAAATGGAAAAATGAAGGGTGCTGTCCAAATCTGGGAAGACCTGTGATTGTGTGCTCACTCATGCACATCACCTGCCACGTAGCCCATGATGGAAAAGATTTTCCAAAGTAGATCACCAGGCCCCTCTTCCTAGTCTATCTTAGTCTGTAAGCTCCACTGAAACCTCTTCAGCATTAGAGTAACCTGCAAGCCTCCACTGGAAAATGAGTGGTGGCTGTGCATGACGTACAACTGGCTGGGCATCAGACTTCAGTCTCGCATGGAAAGCAAGACTTCTATCATTGAACCACCACTGCCCCTCAGGAGACCTTAGGTGAAACTTAATGAAATATTTTACAGTATACATGGTGACAACTCTGAATGGACTCCAAAGAGCTACCAGTTCTATACAAAATGGCATTAAATAAATAAGCTGCTCTACCTTAGCCAGAAAGCTAACCAAAGCTACTTCTCTAAGCAGATAAAATACATGCATTTTTTGCATTCACACACATTTAAAATGGGATGCTTGTTCTCTAACAGCCTGTGCTGAGGTCACAAAAGTGAAAGACATCACCTGTGGTGGGTCAAAGGTCAATGTTTAGCAAACATTGAACAAATCACACCCAGTCTAGAGTCTTTGTGGAAGTGTGAAATAGACAGAAGATTCATGTTGCCTCTAACTTTTGGCCCAACACTCTTTGCGTTCACTTTTATAAAAGTCCATTTTGATAGCATGGTAGATTTGAAGGAAAACTCTTGTTTTTGGAGCTGCCGAGGTGCAAATGAAAAATTCTGACAAAGCTCACAGCCTTGAGCGAAATTTCAAGTGGTGTATTGCCTTTGTTTTCTCTTATTTCACCCACTCATTCTCAGCCACAATTGAAGGACAGATTTTGCCTTTTGCTCTACAGGATAAATTCTATTCTCAGTGTAGAACAGAGTTGGAGGCATGTACTCATACGCTTCTCACTTATCTGTGTGGCCCTCTCTTTAATGGACTCAAGATCTGCAAAGTGCATCAGATGGAAAATATCTGTACGTCAACTGATGGGCTGTGTGGGTGTGCAGGCATTATGCAAAGAGGAAAGTTTGTTCTGCATGCAATGAACCAAATTACCCTGATTCCTTTGCAAGACTCCCCACCCCCTTCTTTCTTTTCACAGCTTCAATAATATTTCCCTGATATTTCAGGTTCTTCTTGATTTTCAGGGAGTCTACGTGGTACAGTGGTTCAAATCTACCAGTGGCTCAGCGGGAGAAAGACCTGGTAATCTGTTCTTGTAAAGATGACAACCTAGGAAACCCACGGGGCAGTTCTACTTTATCCTACAGGCTTGCTATGATTCAGAATTGACTTGATGGGACCGGGTTTTCTTGATTTTCAGTGTGATCCATCAGGCATGATAAAGGACAAAAGGTCTGTGACCAGGGCATTGTTTGTGAAATCTCTGTCTTGCTTGAATCACAGTTGTCCTATGGCTGAGGGTACCTCGTCCCTGAACCCAACTTCAGAGTAGGTCTCATAAAGCTGGCAATGTTAAGACCAAAATAATGTCATTTAGTGTCCAGGGGAGGTTAAAAAGAGGATTAGAGGCAGGCAGGCAGGGTACATTAAATAAGTCCATGACTAATAGGGTGTGACAGAAAAGGGTCTTATTCTTTTCAACAAAACAATTCCCCAGCGTTGGGACCATTACTCGACTGTGGCTTTATCACCTTGGAATTTTTATGGTTATTTTTGATGAATTCACATTTTTTGTAAAGGCTTTTTTGAAATGATGCCAGTTTTCAATTTTTAATTAAAGTCGTAAATAATCTTAATTCTGCCTTAAAAGGTTTATTGTTTCTTACTTTTTTTATTATTATTATTATTATGGCTGCCAGGAAATATTTCAAATACCAAGGCCTGATGTGAGTTTGCAATTAGAATTTCTCCAAGGTCTAGTAACAACATTGCACCATGTAAATATACCAGCATGAGACTTGAAAATGTAGATCAACAGATTTGGGGTTTATGAGCATTGCCTCTCCTGGGAGTGGCATTTCCCCACCCCCCTTTTTTTTTTTTTGGTTGTTGGATAAAGCAAGTTTCATTCTTTGAATATTCAGAAATCAACCCATTCCAGTTTCATGAAGGATTTTTAAAATCTTCAGTTCAAAAGGCAGGTTAAAATTCAGAAGCAAACCCCATGAACTTGTCACTGAGGCTGGGCAATGAAAGCCCAATCAGTTGCAGGAACCAAAGTAGCATCCAAAGCTAAGCCGTATGAGAGATGATGCCTCCTTTCAGTTAAGACAAAAGTAAGAGAGGGCACTGCAGTAGCTGACACTAGTTGATAATACTGCTCCTCAAAAGGATATCTTTGTTGTCTAGATTGCCTTTTGAAAGTTGCCTGCAAATTATCTATGAATTCATGTTTTGTCATATCAAGATCTGCTTGTCTTTTTTCAAATATGCATCGAGAATCTTTCACACAATCAAAAATATTCTTCCTTGATATAGAGGTGGAGCCAGTAACAATTCCTGAAAATATTATGTTTCTATACGTGTAGTCAACCCAAGTTACTCTTAAATCAAATATCAGATTGTTGCTTCCCTATCAAGATATGGGACATCCATTCTTTCATGTCTGCAAAAATTGTTACTCTCTATCAAAGTGTTCTTCAATCTTTTGATAGATTTGTTACTGAAGTAAAACCTCACATTTGGCATAACTTGGGGACATGGCTGGGTCAGACTTAAGGAAACAATACTTATATCTAGGAGGGTCTCTTTTTTAAAAAAAAAAATCCACAATTTATTATTTCAAGTTTATAAGATACACAAACATAATGACAAAAAACACAGTGAACAACAGTCCTGCTGAAACCCTCAAAAGTATGCAACAATTACAAGGAAAATGTTCCTTAGAAACTAGGATAATGACATTCAGTTTGGCTCATTTACTTTGGACAGGTCATCAAGAAAAGTCAATCACTAGAAAAGGACGCATTTGGTAAAGCAGAGGATCAGTGAAAATGAGGGAAACCCTTCATGAATTGATTGACCCAACAGCCCCAGCAACAGGCTCACACATAGTAATTAATGGTCATGAAGATAGCACAAGGAATGTCTCCTGCTGTTGTACAGAAGGTTGTCATGAGAGGGCCACAACTCAAAGACAACTAAGGACAACAATAATGCAACAATGGTGTGTTACTGTAAGAAGATTAAATATTCCCCTTACAACTTAATTATTTACATCATTCACTTAGCAGCTCCTTGATTCTTCTAAAATAGACGAGTAGATCCAGTCTACAAAAAATGAACACAGATCAGACAGAAAGAGATCTAACTGTATTTCCAGAGGAAAAAAAAAAGCAACTCTAAAAACCGATTTACACGAAAGAGTTTGTATGCAATTAAAAATATCGCTCAAATCTTCCTAACTGGGCATTTTCTACCTCACAGGGAAGAGGTCAAATTCTTTCCATATATGAGCCCTCAGCAAGCACTGCACTAACACCTCCCAAGAAAGAACAACTCAAATAACAGAGAGACTGGAGACCATTTCCCAATGGGAAAGTGTTCAGTCCCTATAAATCATGAAGGAATGCAAGAATTCTAAATAGAACTCACAGTGACCTGAAATGCTAGCCATGGGGTTCAATCACTTGAAACAAGTTGAACCTCAAACTGCCCTTAAATTTCTTATAAGGAATCCTAAAGCAAGTCGAGTACCCATCTTGACACAAACTTAACACTCAAAGAGCCAAGGGCAGCTCAACTTCTTTTCTGCCATGGTCAGAAGATACTTGTTGGTCCAAAAATTCAAAATTGATTTATTAGCAAATGGCTTGAAAGGTGGTGAGCTCACTATTTCTGGAGCGGGGGGGTGGAGATGGGGGGTTGTAGTTCAAGCACAGCATAGCCACTCAATGGAGATCTCATTGAGGCTAGGAGACCAACAGTCAGATAGGTCTGTTGACTGATCTTTAACATTTCTACCACATCTGAGATACAGTGATTGTTTGAACTTCTAAAGATGCTTTAATCCTTTATTGATATCAAAGAGATTTCAGGCCCAATTTCTTTTTCAAATTTTCATACACAGTACCTTTCAAGAAACCATTATTCTATAGAGCTCTGGAAAATGAGTCCTCTGGGTTCAGAGGTACTACACAATGGCTGAGAACAACAGACTCAAACAAGGCAGTGATCGTGAAGATGGCAAAGGAATGGCCAACACTTCCTTATGTTGTCCATAAGGTCACCATGAATCATAGCTGACTCAAAGGCCACTAACAAAAATAACAACCTACTAAGAAACATGTTTTTTTAAGCTTCTAGTAAGGGATGTGCTGTATTTATTCATCTAAGGATTCATCTTCCTTTTTCATCACAAGTAAAATCATTTCAGCCAATTGTTATGTTAAGAAAAAGCACTAATCTTGAAAAAAGGGGTTGTTGTTGTTGTTGTTGTTGTATACGCCAATTCACTTTTCTTTAGCTATTTAGATTAGATTTTCATAAAAGCTGGTTTTCTTTAGCTATTTAGACAGGATTTTCATACTTTGTTACTTTCCAGTTTAGGTGACTTTTCACTAGTTTTTCTCTCATTCCTATTATCCAAGCCACCCCTAAGACTCCTATCTGGCTACTTTCGGAATGCTAGCCACAGCCTTGATACTTCCTGGAAGATTTTTCAGCTCCAACAGTCAAAAGCATGTCGCATCGTAAGAACTATAAGAATGCCCCGTGTCCTGCAGAAGCTCCCAGTACCACAAGAGCCATTTAAACATGTGCTCCTGGCTGGAACATTCCCTTTTAAAATTACCTTTTTCCTTGCTTGCTGATCTTTGGAAGAATGTGCTTTCACGTGCTTTCTGAGGGAACTTGGGTCTGTGTAACGTTTGGTGCATCCTGGAATTTGACAAGCATAAGGTTTCTAAATAAGAAAGAAAGAAAGAAAGAAACAGCTGTGGTTAAATCATAAAGGTAACTGGGGGAAGGGTTTACTCAAAGACTATTGACTTCAGAGCGTGAACTGTTACCAAGGAATTAATGGAAAATTCTGGGTAATACTCATGCATTTTCATTAGAAAGTCCAACAGCTTTGCATCGCAGCCAAGAGGAGGATAAATGTTCAAGAAACAAAGAGATGGCCTATCTTCAATGATTTTAAGAGACTGTACACTCTAAGAGTTAGAGTGTGTGCTAACTCCCGTGGTGTTTTTTAACGTGTAAATTGTTAGTAAGCATCTCCAGTCATACTTACAGTTCTTCCCCCTGAGAACAATCTTTGGTACTGTCAGAAACTAGTAAACACATATTCTTTAAGGGTTCAGGTAAAGAAGCTGTAGAATAGTCCAGAAAAGACTGGCTGTGTTTCAGAAGAAACCTGATTCAGAGAGAGGGAGAGAAAGAGAATTAAGAAGGGAAAATGAGTGTGAAGTGAGTCAGAAACAGTAGGTTTTGAACAACAGACAAGAGAAGTCAGCCAGAGAAACATTAGTAATAGTTATTAGTTGCAGAGGAGGCCTGGTGTTAAGCCTGGGTCATGTCAGTAAGCCTTGGCAGGATGAGGACACAAGTTTTGGCTGCTCCAATCCCCTAGGGTCCCAGAGGTGTGAGGTGTGAACCTAAGGCTGGGTTTTACTTTTACTTTTACTTTTGCATCCCTGGTTCTTGGCACATGAACATTAGCAATGAATGGAGGAGAGCACCACACAGCTATGCAAATTTCAGCATCCACGGTCACGACAAAATTCACAGTAACAGTATGAGGCTATGGCTCTTCAGTTATGAAATACATCAAAATCTTTGGTTTATTCCAGGAACTGGGGAGGAGTGGACGAGGGGAGAAAGCACATGATTAACTGTATTTCTTCCAAATGGTTAAGGTGCCTGGCTGCTAACCAAGAGGTTGAGGGTTGGCATCCACCCAGAGGAGCCTGAGAAGAAAGGCCTGGTGATCTGTATCCGAAAAATCTGCCACTGAAAACCTTATGGAACACAGTTCTACTCTGATACAAATGGTGTTGCCATGAGTTGCAGCTGCCTCAACAGCAACTGATTACTGGTTGGTTTGTTGATTGATGATTGATTGGTTGATTTATCCAACAGCTCTGAGGCTTCCATGATGTGCTGGGGGTTGTGTTACATATTAGAGGTCTAAGAATGAACATGGATGAATCAGGCTCCCAGTGCCTCATGGTTTTTTACTTTAAGGCTAAAGACATTTGCCAATGAGTTCGTATTGGATGAGTACTGATTTCCTTTCAGCTGGGAATCTTTCCTGAGTTTACATGGTTTTCCTACACAAGCCTTCCCTGCCTTGCCTGTCCTTGTGTTAGGGGAGTAAGTGACCAATATCTGAGATGGCTGCATGTGACCATGTGAGCTCATGTTTTGAGCATCAGAGGAGATGTTGCACGTAAATAGGCCTTAAGCAGTGCCATTACTGTTATTGTGATCACTATCGTATGGATTTGAAAGAAAAGAAATATTATTTGTAATAATAATATTATTATTATTTGTTGAAGCAGTGGTTCTTCAATGGTAGAATTCTTGCCTTCCACACAGAAGGCCTGGGTTTGATTTCTAGCCAATGTACCTTCTGAGCAGCCACCACCCATCAGTAAAGGCTTGCGTGTTGCCAAGTTGCTGAGCAGGTTTCAACAGAGTTTCCAGACTAAGATGGACTAGGAAGAAAGGCCTGGCAATCTACTTGTGAAAAATCACCAGTGAAAACCCTGTGGGTCACAATAGTCTGTGTTGTGCATGAGGTTGCCAAGAGTCAGGGGATGACATGACAGCAGCTAACAACAGTTACAACACTATTTGTATTTGATTTTGAGATGGTCTTGGAGAAAACATGCACACTCAGTCTTCCTCCCCACTGGCCGTCACTCCTCCACTTGCTGTCAGCTACCTGGGACCAGTGTGCCAACAGAGCAACGTCAGGGGATGGTGCAAGTAGCATTGGTATACAGGTGATTGTATTTCAGATTAAAGCCCATTGCTCTCAACTTGATTCTGATTTATAGTGACTCTATAGGACAGAGTAGGAGCTGTGGTAGCAGAGTGCCTAAGGCATTTGACTGCTAACCAGAAAGCTGGTGGTTCGAACCTACCAGCCACTCCTCAGAAGGAAGGTTGGGCAATCTACTTCTGTAGTGATACCACCTCGGAAACCCAAGGAGGGGTTGCTATGAGTCGGGTTCAACTTTGCAGCAGTGAGTTTGCTTTTTTGGTTTATAGGACAGAGCAGAACTGTCATATAGGGTTTCCAAGGCTGTCATCTTCACGTAAGTAGACTACCACATCTTTCTCCCACAGAGCAGCTGGTAGGCTCAAACAGCTGACCTTTCAGTTAGCAACTAAGTACTTAACCATGGTTGTTGTTGTTGCTGTTATGCGCCATGGAGTCAGACCCGACTCATAGTGACCCCTCCTTGGGTTTCTGAGGTGGTGTCACTATGGAAGTAGATTGCCCAACCTTCTTTCTGAGGAGTGTCTGGTGGGTTTGAACCGCCAACCTTCTGGTTAGCAGTCAAACGCCTTAGGCACTACACCACTAGTCAATTTCAATTCCTGGTGACCTTATATATGCAGAATAGAATTACATTCCATAGGGTGTTCAGAAGCAGATAACCAGGCCTTTCTTCTGAGGTGCCTCTGGATGGGTTTGAACTGCTAAGCTTTTGGTTAATAGTCAAGTTCTTAACTGTTTGTGCCATTCAGGGATAGCCAATAAAAGAGAACACAGACTTAAATTTAAATCATAAATTATTTAAGCAAGTACAGTTTGCTTTTTAAGATAAGTATTTAATTTCTATATGATTTGAAAGGAGCTTAGCAGTTTGCTAAGTATCATTTAAAAAATGAAACAAGAGGTCTGGACCTTAAAAGAGAAATTATGGTTTTAGAAGATTTCATAGAGAATTTTTTTTCCAAAAATTGGCTGAGTTTTGAAAGCTATTACATTACACTGGATCATAAAATTATTATCTTAGGTAAATTTGTTTAAAAGTTTGAAAGTCAGATAATTCTTTTTAATTCTAAAATGATTAGTTAAAATTAGCTCCATATGAACAACACTGTGGAACCTAACATGTAGCCTCACAGTAGTTCTTTCAGGTGACAGATAACCAGGTACAATGGAAGCAGTTTCTCATGACCATTTTGTCTCATGAATGCTCACCTACTTTGTCATGACAAACTGGAAAATTGAATGGATTCTACCCAGACCATTTTAGGCATAATAAAATAAGGCTTTTTAACATAATTTATTCTATCTCTACTTTTTAAGAATCCACTTATTCACCAAATTTATTCATCTAATATTCTGTGGCTCCTAACATCACTAAATCTAATCCAGCAAGAGCAGAAAGGATCTATCCTACACCAAAATCTCTAGAAGCTATCACACTCATGTATACAGTGAGATAATTCTGTTTAGAAAGTTACTGTGACAAAGAGCTGAAATGATTTCTATCAATCTAACTAATAAAGAAGCCATTACCATGAGGTTAATTCTGACTCGTCGCAATCCTATAGGACAGAGTAGAACCACCCCAGAGGGTTTCCATGCTGTCATCTTCACAGGAGCAGATGGCCACGTCTGTCTCCTGAGGAGCTACTGGGTGAGTGTGAACTGCCAACCTTTTGGTTAGCAGCTGAGCACTAAACCGCTGCACCCCAGGGCTCCTAATATGAATAATAGAGACTAACATAAAATTTAATAAATATGTCAGCTATCACATCAGAAGAATCTTAAGTGGATGAGAAAGCATTTAGAAATAACAAGATCTTTTCAAAACTCCAGTTCTGGTGTCATTTAGTAACAGATCTCAGATCATTAACACTACAAAATACTGTCATGAATACATAATTAGCAAGAATGCAGGCTGAGAGATCTGAGATGTGTATAACACATTTATCCTTGTGGCTTTGCTCAGTGAAGTGAAGCTGCACATGGTCTACCTGGCTCTATGCAAGAAAAATAGCACGACAGCCTAAGAAAGGCAAAAGGAGGCCTATCAATGTAATTGAGAAAAATAAAATATAGAGGCCCAGAAAGACATCTGTAAAAGAGCAAAACGTTGCAGCATTAAGACAGTTAAGAGTGTCATGATGACGTGCAATGGGTCTCATTGGGTTTATGTCAAAGGTTACATAGCTGCTGATACACTGGAAGCATGAGAAACCCAAACCCTGGGAAAGGATTCACTGATTGTTCTTATATCACTTACAGGTAAAAATACCAGGTGGTTTCTAAAGCAAAAAGCCAGATTCACCCTCAAAAACCATGCCAGCTGCAAAGTTCTTATGTCAAGAACTAGGGTAAGGGGTGAAAAAAAAGTTTCTTATTTCTAGCAAGCAATAATAGTGTAAAATACCCGTCTAGTATAGCAAGTCTTGATATATGAATACGTATTTTAATGCCTAATCTCTCATGATTATTCTCTGTATTTAAATCTACTATATTACAGCTCAGGAGCCCTGGTGGTATAGATGGTTAAGCGCTCAGCTGCTAACTGGAAGGTTGGCAGTTTGAACCCACCCAGCTGCTCCACAGGAAAAGGACCAGGTGATCTGCTCCTATAAAGATGACAGCCTAGGAAGCCTTTGGGGCAGTTCTACTCTGCCACATGCGGTTGCTACAAATCAGAATTGACTTGAAGCTACCTAACAACCACACGTTACAGCCCGTATAAATCCATGTTGTTGTTAGGTGCTGTCGAATCGGTTCTGACCCATAGGGCCCTGTATACAATAGAACAAAACACTGCCTGACCCTGTGCCATCCTCACAACCTTGCTATCTTTGAGTCCACTGTTGGCAGCCACTATGTATATAAAGGTATAAAAGTACATAAAGCCTTTGCGCTATACACCAAACCAAAACCACACGCATTGCCATGGAGTCGATTCTGACTCAGAGACCCCACAGGACAGAGTAGAACTGCCCCATAAGGGACTGGGCAATCTTACTTCCATAGAGATACTGCCTTGCAAACCCAAGGAGGGGTCGCTACGAGTCGGATCCGATTCGACAGCAGTGAGTTTGGTTTTTTGGTTTGGTTAATCTTTACAGAAGCAGATTGCCCTATCTTTCTCCCAGAATAGCTTGTGGGTTTGAACTGCTGACCTTTTGGTTACCAGGTGAGTGCTTTAACCACTGTGCCACCAGGACTCCTTGCTTTATACACAGAGGTGACCAAGTAGTACTTCTGTCCCTGGCAGTTGCAATAGTTAGGATGGCCTTCCATTACAGAAAAGTGAAACAGCCAGCTGGGGTGCCTCTGGCTCTTGACTGGGCTCCTGCTGCTTTCAGCCTTGTCCCTGTCACCTGCAACCCATAAAGCAAATGCCTTCAGTGGCCCACTATCGGACGGGTGCTTCCTCACACTGGGGGTCGGGCTGAGAGCTGGAAAGTTCCTGCCATTCTCACAGTGTCCAGGTGCGTCCGCTGGTGTTTGGCGCGGTCGCTGGAGTTACTGAACGCCTTCTGGCAGCCTGGGTGCTGGCACAAGTACGGCTTCTCGCCCGTGTGACTCCGCAAGTGAATCTTGAGATTTTCGAGCCGTGAAAAGGCCTTCTTGCAACCTTCAAACTGCAAAGAGAAAACAAGTTTTGGTTGTTGAAAAGGATCTTGAGTGCTTGAGTCTGGGGGTAGGGGGGAGAAAAAGTCCTTAATTTAATTTAGCTGAAAACAATAAAGTACAATGAAATCCACACAGCAACAAACATTGCTTCTAAAATTACTCGTATGTTTATGTGAACTGCATTTCTCCCTTGAATATACATGCCACTTTTCATACCAGATTTGGGTCCCAAACTGATTTCTGTGATTACTTATGTCAGAGAAAATTCGCTGTGAGCCATCTGGATCAGTTAATAAAAATACAGTAGTGTGTGTCTTAGAGATTTATTAAAAATTAACACACTTTTCCATTTCCAAATTGGTCTAATTTGAAGGAACAAGGAAGGAAGAAACTTTTTGACAACTAATAAACTAACAAGAAAAATTGGAGTGACGTATGGCAGAAAAGCTGGACTGGAGATCCAGGAAGAGAGCTGTGTGCCGGCTGGCCGTTTGTGCTGATATACTTCCTTAACTGTATTTTCAAGAGGTTTTCAACAACCAAAAGAGTGACTTTGTTAAGATAGAGGGTGGTGGCCATGCTTAATGAGATATAGTTTGTTTGTTTTTTTACCCTACTCCTAAAAAGGACCAGTAGTGCAAAGAGTTCATGTGCTTGGCTGCTTATCAAAAGGCTGGAATGGAAGTTCAACTCCAACCAGAGGAAGAAAGTCTGGGCGACTAGAGTGTAGTGAGTTTAATTTTGGGTTTTGGGAAAGATCCACCCCAAACGCACTGCTGTAGAGTCGATTCCAACTCACAGCAACCCTATAGGTCAGGGTAAGACTCCCCAGTAGGGTTTCCAAGGCTGGACATCTTTACAGAAGCAGACTGCCACATTTTCTTCCATAGAGTTTGAACTTGTGAGTTCAAACCACCAACCTTTCAGTTAGCAGCTGACCACTTCAACCACCACACCACCAGCCTCCTTAAGTAGAAGATAGACAATTCATTTAATGTTAAATCACTTTCCAAATAAAGTAAGATTTAAAAAAAAGAAGAAATTCTGTCATCTAATTCATGAGTAGAAGAATTGAAAATGAAATGTTGAAGATTTCAAGAAATGCTTTATTGGCTTGTCAATAATATTTATTGATGGGAATATTTACTTACTGTCTTTTGTGGGCGAAATGTCAACTACTATTTTAGGGTCAGAGTGATTCCTACCCATGAGGTAACAATCTAATAATAATAATAATAGTAATAAAAATGTGTTAGAGAAAGCATGTAAATGAAGCATCAAGGTGAAATGGGGATTTATCTTTTAATTCTGGTGCTAAACCCTAGAATATTTATTTTACTTAGCCAGTTTTAATCCTATTTGAGTTCCCACTGGAAGAAACTTGGAAATAGGGAAAAACTACCAGAAACAAAGCATAATACATTTAAAGCAATTAAGAAGCCTCACTTCTTAGAGAGAAGTGTAGGTGTATGTGTGGGAGGAGATACAGGACAGAATGCATGGGAAGTAGGTAAATTCAAGACGGTTTGCAACTGAAACAAGCAGGTATAACTTAAAGTTTTCGAAAGAAATGTTATCAACCTGGCTGGTTCTTTCACTTATGACAAGAGACGGTGGACGGCAGGTTAGCAAGGGTATGGTTCACAGCTGGCCAGGTGCTTGCTATTTGAATTTTCAGCTTTGAAGAAAGGATGAACTAAGTAGAACAAACAATCCAACACGCAATACTCCATCTATTTAAGTTGTCCAGATTTTGCAGGCTGGAGTATTTTAAGAAATTTATGAAAGTTGCACTTATTTTTGATTGAGAGTTTTACATGTTTCACAGACATATGTTGGTTTATTTCAATTTTGATATTTTGCTTAAAATAATTTTGGTGTTTTCCTGATTTCTATTTCACATAAAAATAAATGTAGGCTGAACAGAAGATGACTGCTGACAAAGCCAACCACTCTTCCGGCAGAGTGAAGGCACATCCTGCTAAGTTGCCTTTGGCAGCAAGGCGAGGACGGGAGGGCTGAGTGAAGCGGCTCCATTCCTCAGGTTTTCAGGTTGGTCTCAAATCTGAGACTAAAGGGGATCAACATTAACCCCCAATTCTCAGTTAACAGGGCTCTGCCAAGCATGCCCGTTTTGAGGTTCTCACTAAATAACGACTCAGAACAAACTCCTGGAGCTCAGTTTATTTAACTTGGAATCATCTGGTGGACCACACTTAGGTCTGAAATGAACTTGTGGCTTTGGACATGCCAACCCTGGAACCTAGCTCCTTGCAAGGTTGTTGTTTTTTTTTTTTGGTAGGGTGGGTTCCTATCTTGGGTCGGCTCCAAGGGTACATACCCCGGCCTGGCAGATCCTAGACCCACTCTCTTCCCTAGAGCCCCACATGTTGGTCAGAGAGAAGGCTACACTATTTGGGCACCAACATGGGAGTGAGGAAGCCCACTGGGTAGGTTAACGAGGCTTCTGTGAGTGCTGGAGGATATGATACCCCTTGGATCTACTGTGGAGTGACTCTGAAGTCTCTGACATATCTTGGAACTAATTCAAACCGTCCACTTGACCAGAAATTACCTGGATGTAGACTAGCATTTTTAACCTTCTCTCAGTTATATGCCCACTTAAATGCCCAGTAAAATGCCCAGTTAAAGGTCAACTCATTATTGTTATTATTATTACTGCTAACAGAAGCTATACTCAAAGACAAAGGGGTTTGCTGTATTCCGAGCACATCTGTGAAGGTGAGCCGCATCTCAACATATCATGGCCAGTTTTAAATAACAGCCCCCAGCCTGGAAAATGATGACAAAGAGATGATCTATAACCAGTTGGCATCTAGTGACCCTGACTCATGGTGATCCCATATGTGTCTGAGCAGAACTGTGCTCCATAACATTTTCATGGCTGTGACTTTCAGTAGCAGATCCTAGGTGCCTCAGGGTAGATTCAAACTTGTAACTTTTAGGTTAGTAGCCAAGTGCTTAACTGTTTGCATCACTCAGGGATTTGAAGCTTATCTATAAAGTAATGAAAATCTGACTGTTATCAGATGTTTCCTCTGCAACAACAAAATCTGCCAGAAGACAATACAGAAGCTTATGGTAATTTCAGGGAAAATGACAGGTGTTGCATGAATAAAGGCAAAAACAAACAATGAATAGATTCTGATTCATGGTAACTTCATGTGTTTCAGAGTAGAACTGTGTTCTGTAGGATGTTCAATGACTGATTTTTCAGAAGTAGATCTGAAAGTAGATGGGTGGATATGAACCAAATTTTTGTTTGTAGGTGAACATTTAAGCATTGTTATCACCTGGGGACTTCTGATACAGGCAGGAAAATGGCAAGTCACAAATTCAGGGGTTCAGGGTATGTTTATCACCTCATGATTCTTGCTGAAAACACTCACTTGAAGAACCCATGTACCCAAAACTAGAGAAACCAGGCAATAAAGAACTGGCAAATGGTTGTGTGTGTGTGTGTGTGTGTGTGTTCTAGCACCCAGCTCATCACCATACTTTCTGAACTTGCCACACTAATGCTCCTATGGTAATAGGAAGGTGGTGATGTTCCTGCCTTTCACTGTATCCGGATGGAATTAGAAACAAAAAATTTTATAAGGAATCATTACTACTTATGATGGGAATAACCCTGTAATTCACCACAAGAATTTTCCCCTGCCTTGAGAAGTTCTAAGGAGCTCTGGTAGCACAGTGCCTAAGACAACTGACTTGCTAACTAGAAGGTTGGTGGTTCAAACCCACCAGCCACTCTGAAGAAGCAAGACTAGGCAGTCTACTTCTATAAAGATTTACCATCTCAGAAACCCAACGGAGGTTGCTATTAGTTGGACTAGACTTGACAGCAGTGGGATTTTTCAGTTTGAGCAGTTCTACCCTAGATCCATAAATTTAATTAAGTAAAAATACAGGAAAAATAAGCTAGCAGTTAGGTGTGCCTACCAAAGACTGTTACTAAATACACCACAACTAGATCCTTTGGGTGTTTGGACAAATGCATGACTTATTTTTTCTTACTGATTGTTTCATGTTTTCCAAATCTTGGATGAGTATGTCTTGCCTTGTAGATGAACACCTTAGCTCAGCAAAATAAAGGATATTAGGAGGAGTGTAGCAGCCCTGGTGGTGCAGTGGTTAAGTGCTCGGCTAACCAAAAAGTTGGCAATTTGAAACCACTAGCCACTCCATGCGAGAAACGTGAGTTACTCCGCTTCCATAAAGATTTCAGTCCTGGAAAGCCTATGGGGTAGTTCTACTCTGTTCCACAGGGTTGCTTTAAGCTGGAATTGAGCCAATGGCAGTGGATTATTGGGATTATTGTCTTCTCTGGTAGCATAGTGCCTAAGACACTTGACTGCTAACCAGAAGGCTGGTGGTTCAAATCCACCAGCCACTCCTC